TTGTATGAATTTCTTTTAAATCACAACCTGAACATTTTTTAATAATAGGCAATTGTACAGAAGGAGATATATTATCAACTCCAATATCATGTATCCAATGTTCAACAATTGTACCTTCAACCACTGTTTCTATAACTCTTCCTAAATACACGACAGCATTTTTCTCATGATAAAATGCTAACCAGTTACATTTTTTAACTTCTGGAACCAAGTCTTTACTGATGCACTTGTAATTTCTTTCCATGTGAAATTCACTTTTAAGTCTTCTAGATAAATACTTTTCCAATAAACACTTCTGTTCTATAGATTTAAACCAACTAGGTTTACGTCCCTTAGTATTAATCCCTAATGTTATTCTTAAATCTCTATAATTTAATAATCGATCACCTCCTGAGGAGATCAGTTGACTAATAAAATATATGCAGTGTTTCATTAACTGTTGGTTCATTCGATTTTTGAATAGTTCATTATGTGTAAAGAAATCAGTTATACACAATGAACCACCTCTAATAATATTCTCATCTTGTCCACTACTTCTAAAAGTTAAATTGTGATCATACATTATTGCTAATGTTGCTGCTAAAATGTTATATTTGACCTTAAGATCACATGACTTAATGTTCCATTCTGTCGTTGGCGATTTAGTTAAAATCATTTCAGATTGTAACTGTTTATTACGTATCCTTGTAATAATACCTAATACACCTTGTGTATTGAACTGATTGTATAACCTTGTTACTTGTCTTTGTAATTGTATCGTACCAATGTCCTTAACTCCATAACCTAATGATGAGTGTATTACACTATTTGGTATAGTAGCAACCAGTGATGTTTTCTGTTTAAACATAGAGCGACATAATTTATTCAATTGTTCTATCTGATTATGATTCCAAATTGTTAACTGTGATTTATATTCAATCCTAGGTATGATGACATGATTGTATATATATTTCATTTGTAGATCGGTAACTCGTTTCTTACGTATAATCCTATTATAATTTCTAATTATATCTTTACATTGATTTAAAACGAATTTCGTGTTTAGGTCTAAATTAACCCAAACTCCTAGAATTCTGACTGATTCTCCCGCCTTAATCGGTTTGATTTTCCTAATCTCTGATCCAAAATTGATATCAATTTCTCCGTCTATAGTTTGTATTTCTTCATTTGTTGTCATTGCAAACTTCTCATAGTTTATCTGAATATTATTCATCTTATTGAATTCATTTGCTATGTCCAGGATTTTCTCTAGCATATATTTACTTCCTGTCAACCACGTTACGTCGTCCATGTACGTTTGAGATGAAACAATAGCAGATAATGACTTTTTATGAGGTACTTGTATATTAGTTTTCCAGGAGTGTTCTATCTTGTATCCCAAACGTAAACTATCAATTTCTGTCAATAGTGGATCGTAATATATTGTCCACAAAAGAGGTGAAATGACCTCCCCTTGATCTATCCCGATTTGCGATGTGAACTGTGGAGTAACACCATTATATCCAATTATAGCTTTTTTACTGTTCACGAATAAGTTTGTAATCAATTGTATCAGTATTTTAGGGATTTTAATTCTGTCTATCGCCAGTTTTAACATCTCTACATCTACCCGGTCATATGCCTTAGAAAGGTCTTGGAATATCAACCAAATGTGTTTTTTGTTGACTTTAGCGTCTTCTATACAGGTATTGATAATTCGTAATGATGTTTCTGTAGATCTGCCAGGCAATGCTGCGTGATTACCACCTTTAGTATATTTTTTTCCGCAATTACAGCTGATAACCTTTTCATAATGATCTTAACTAACGTTTTCCTCAACGTCTCTAAGAGTATTATAGGTCTTGTTTTAGTCAACATGTGTTCCCATTCTATATAGTCTTGGGTATAGGATACAACAAGGCTTCTCTCCATTCCCCTGGTATATCTCCTATTTGTAAACACATATTTGCTAATTTCAGCGTTAAAGCCTTCATATTGGTACCCAAATGTTTTAACTCTTCATTCGAAACCTTTGATGGACCAGCAGCTTTATCTTTAGTCAACTCCTGTATCGTATCCATCCACTCTTCTTCCGTGATCTCCTTAACGGTAGCATTATACCAATCTGTGTTAATATCATTTTTTGGTGCATACTGCCTCTGCCATCTATCGCTCATTGCAATTCCATCATTCATCTTTTTCCCAGCGGCATTTTGATAATGTTCTATCATTGCTTCTGTAATTTCTTTTTCTGTCGAACATAACTGTTTTTGGCCGTCCTTTTTTATAAGAACTTTATCTAGTACTATTTTTTTTCTTTTCCTATTTAATATTGAATCCAGCATATGTTTTTTATTATCTTGTAATTCCCTGCATCATTTATCAACATAGTATTTGATCTGTTCCTCTTTGTATAAGTCATCTTCTTCCGCATATTTGATTTGTGTAATTTTAAACAGATCGATGATCAGATCTTTAAACTCTTTAATATTCATTTATAGCAGTGGTTTCTTTTGGATCTGTAGTCTTTGCAGCAATTCCATAATTGTATCATAATATTGTTTGATAAAGTTATATGTGACATCCGGTTTGGTCAAATCTTTGAGTTTTTTATTTGTTAACTTCATCAAAATTAAAGAAAGTTGTCGAAGTTTCTTCTTATAAAAAAAACAGCTTCTGGTAAATTATCTTTATTCGGATGTGGTTTCTTCGTTGGTAAATGTTTTTTCGCTTTATTTATTATCTGCTTTATAGAATTCCATATTCTATTTAGTATAGTCGTTGTAGGACATTCTTCAATTTTTAACATTTTTAATTCTTCCTCTAGGATTAATTCCGACTGCTCTGTGAATGTCTTCCATTGATCATCTGTAATCTTACTGTAATTGATGACTTTTTCTACTTTATGTCTTCTATTCATAGCCATTTGCAGTTTTTTGAAGATATCATCAATGCTAAAATATGACGTGACTGCTGAATGGTCCGTATTGAAAATGTGAATTTTATTCGTTAATGCATATATCAAGTCTGGGATCAATTCAAAGTTCACCCAATTAAAGTTGATTCTTGATGTAATATTGTTACGACGCCATATTGACAATGGTTTGGTGTGAAATAGCACATTCGTGTCTTTAAATCTATAGTTGTTTAATATTTTAAACAAGCTAAGTTTCCACGGTATTGATAAATTTTTCTGTTGTTTGTCTAGAAATTCTTCATATTTAATATTAAAATCTCCCAAGACTATAATCCGACTTTAAAGTTTACGTTCTTTTTTTATAATGTCATTAATTTTGTCGTATAACTCCAAGATTTCTGTTTTTTGTGTATTATTCGCGTAATTATACACTAAGATTATTGATAAATGAATCTTGCCTTTCATGTACATCGTCAAGTGTATTAATCTTCCTTTGAATAAGTCTTTGGTTTGTACGTGTTTAGCATAAGCTTTTTCCATAATAATCCCAACACCAGCGGAATAGTAATTTTATCATCATACGCTCATCACGAATTATATTCCTTTTCGTTTCGGTATAAATTTTCCACACTGCTATTTTTAAGTTTGGTTTCTGTTACCCCCAGGATATTAATCTTATTTATTTTCATGAAATTTAATAATTGTTCTTGTTTCAGATTGGTATTTAGTCCTGCCACATTGATTGTCATTATTTTAAATGTATTGTTGATATCCATAATGCCATCTTTCGCTGGCAATATATTTTGGGTTTATTGTTGGTGTACAATCATTATTGACTATTGTTTGGAAGTATTGTGTCTTTGTATCCATTATTCAGACTGGTATCTTGACTATTTGGAGTAATTTTGTTCATAAAGTTCTCGAACATGTAGTGCATATTAGAAAGGGATAAAAACGCTGAATCCATTCTTTTCTCAAAGTTATCCAGTCTTTCATTTTCTTTTTTGTCTAATGTCTCTTGTACATCAACCAACATGTTACTGTCTTGTTGTGTCGAAGTTTGCGGCGAGATAGTTGCAGTCATTTGTGTCATTCGTTCTGTCTCGATCGGAGCAGCTTCTCTACTTTGTGTCTCAACGTTAGTTGGCCTGATAAAGATGTCAACTTTTTTATCTCTCACGATTTCCATTGTTCTAATACGTTTATTATTGCTATTCTTAAAAGTTTCATTGACTGTACCAAAACTTAGGCTAACTTGTCGTGTATCACTCGGCACTTTTGAATTGAGAATCTGGACTTCTACGTTCGCAAGCCTGTTGTTAAATTTATTTAACAGGTTGGTGAATTGTTCCATTTTTGCTTCTAGTTTTGTTAACTGGTCTGCTGTACTGGATTGGATAGCATTTTCACTCCATGGTCTTCGTTGGGTTGTGTGTCACTGGTAAAAAAATGGTCTATCCTACACATATCCTACACATATCTTACATATATCAGGTACTCAAAATGTAGAAAATCATACACAAATAATACACATATCATACACATATCGGGTACTTATATATATAGTATACCTATCAGGTACCTGATATATGTATGATATATATATTAGTACTCGATATGTGTATGATATGTGTATTATTTGTGTATGATTTTCTACATTTTGAGTACCCAATATGTGTAAGATATGTGTAGGATAAATCATTTTTTTACCAGTGTGTGCGTTCTCTTTTTGTTTCCCTTTGTTATTTACTGGATTTACCTGTTGTTGTTTGGCGGCAGATTGTGGGTTATTGCTATTGCTTGAGCCTTGATTAGAATTCATTTTAGCGATGTTCACATAACTATTTTGTTTATCTTCCAGTTATCTAAGCCGTCTTCCCAATAATTGGTTAGTTCTTCATATCATTGTTTCGGAAATAGTGGATTAAAACCCCCTTTAGCAGTGGGTGCCTTTACTTGATATCTTTTATAAATTGATTGATAAACACTATGCGTACGTTGCGCTTGTTGGTATTTATTGTTTTCTGGGCAGTTTCTAAGCTTGTGAAATGATGATCTACATACATGGCATGTATTTTTATCCACAAAATTGAGCCCTTTATTGTTATATGAAAATTTGTGTTTTCGCGTCACCCATTTCTTGTTCAGAATCGAAATAGAACCATACGAAACGTTCTTTTTCGTAATTTCTTGAAAATTTATTTTTGGGTAGGAATATAGCTTTCGCCTTTGTGATATTGGCTATCTCTGCTAGGTCAATGGCACATGTACTACTAGGTAAGTTAGCTAGTTTAAGTACGTATTTGAATCTGTGATTTCTTTCTTCCCTAGATAAGGTGGATGGGAATACTCTGAATACATGTTTACAGAATCTAATTACCCATTCTTTTTTGAAACGTTCTTCTAATTTGTTGTCAGCGAATGTTACTGCCACCTCGTAATATAGTTGTTTAATATTGAATTTGATACTCTTTACGTTCCCAATCGAGCGTAGGTGTTGCTCGAAAATATCTTTTTCTATATCTAATGGTACATCCCAGATGCGGATTTCGTATGACTGTTGATTATCTTGTGCTTGGTTGATCCCTTCAATTTTACAAAATCTAACCTTATTACCTTTAATGATTTGGCGCTCCAAAACTTTCTGAGCTGATTGTTCTGACTCATATGTAGCTTTGATTACTTTAATACCTTTTATAGTTGTAACAACGTATGTCCTCAACCCTGGTACATCTGAAATAATCTGATAAACGTAATTCTTTTTTTCTGTAGGGTTTTGTTCTAGAATAATTTCGAGCGGAAAAAAAAGTTGGAACTGTTTGGCTTTCCCAATAACGGTCCAACTTTGTTGCGGTTGTTTATCTGACTTGTCTAGCGCTGTGCTAACAGTCGGTTCATTTTCCTTATGAGACGGTGCATGCACGGAGGAGCACAGTCTTTGACCGTTGTTGTTCTCAGGTTGTTGAACTACGGCTTGGTTCAAAGAGAAAGCGTTATTGCTTCCTGACGGTTGTGAAGAGGTAAACTCAACCCCTTCCATCTCTCTCCTTTTATAATATACGAAATAAACGATTTCTTATGGCTTTCCTTATAACTTTTCTATATGTAACTGTAAAATTTTTATTATAAACTGCAGTGTGAGAATTTGTCCTAATAATCGACGGAGAGAGTTTTTTTATCGCTTTTATTAAAAAATATTATTATTTATATATTTTTATAAATATATAAATTTTATATAAAAAATTATTTAACTTTATATAAAAGTTATAAATTTATATAATTTTATCGATCTTAAAATTTCCTGATGAATATGTAAAGTTTTATTATACTCCAATATAAAGAAATGGATGGATATTAACAGAGATTGTGAAAAAGATCTTGCTAAATGGATTAGAACTGGTAAAATTATTTATAAAGAGAATATTTATGTAGGAATTGAATGTTGCAAAGGTTTTGTTGATACATTAAATGGTGGTAAAGCTGTTGTAAAATTATTCAATTACCAATATCAATTAATAAATTGTAGGAGTTATTGAGAGTAAAATTTCCCATTAGGCAAATATTCTTCTAAATATATTTTTTATAAGAAATAATAAACATATAAAACTACCATTAATGTAAAAGAATATATTAAATAAAAGGTGATTTTATTGCTCACCAGAGCTGCATCAGAATTTGATTAAGAAACATTTTTTCTTCACGAATTTGTTGATTTAAGGTTAATATATTAACGTTTGTAATATTCATCAAGATCATCTTTAAATTTATATGATTCCTTAAAATCTTTCAGTTCATCTTTTAAAACTAAAATAATAGATATTATTTTAGTAATTTAAAAAAAAAAAAATTTTTTTTTTACTTACTATAATCTTTTAATCCTTTTCCAAAATTTTTGTGACAAATTATTGAATTTATCATTGTAATTATTGTTATAAAAAATGAATTTACATCCAGATTAAGATTAATTGTTGTTTCTATATATAAATTGGTTAGTTTAAACTTCTAGAATATTTATTGTCATATTTACAATACCTAAAATATATCCAGAAACATATTTTTCTTGTGAAGTTAGTACTTTAGAATCCGCAATTAAATTATAAGTATAGTATACACAAAGAGTTAAACTAATAAGATAAAAAACAATCATTATATTTTTTGATTCATTGCGAACCTATAAATGAAATAAATATTATAATTAATCCCTTTTTTTCATAAAAGTAAAAGTTTAAACTAGTTACCCCTTTAATCATTATTAAAGCAATTATACATAATAAGATACTTGGCCAAGGTATACACTTCCAGAGATCAATCGGACTGTTTACGTCAGTTCTGTATATAGATATATAAGTATCCACCGAAAACATAGCAGCTAAAATTTGTGCGTGACACAAAGTTAGTTGCAAATAATACCACATATAGATTTCTGTAAAGTATATTGATATGATATTTTAGAATAGTATATAAAAAAATTCAACTTTAAAAAATGAAAAATTTTAACTTCTAATTTTGGTATCTATTTCTTTGTTCGGATTGATAATCACAAATAAGCTTTTCCTAAATGTACAAATTAGACTTTTTTAAGTTTAAGTTAATGTAGATTACAAATTAATAATTTATTTACCCTTCACGACATATCCAAGTACTAACTATAAGCAAAATAAGTAATATTGTATGTAAACCTACAAACGCTAAAGAACTGGAAATTCTTTCAAGATAATAATATATGAAATAAATATATACAATGAGTGTTACATTCACGAAAAAATATATCATTATATGGTTAATAGTTCTGAATGTTGCCTAAAAAATACAATAAATAACCGCACTTTAAAAATTAGATCATAATTTATAAAGGAGCTCTTACTATAATTACCGTAATAATTCCAGATGTAATCACTAACATTGAATTAAAAAAAAACTCTAGAATATATACAAGAGCTCTCTCTATGTTATTTCTTTTTATAATCCAAACGAAAATGTTTCCGACCAAGACAGCAAAAGAATTTGTAATAATGATTATACAAATTAAATTCTCTCTTAAATATGGAAGGAAATTCTTCTTGAATTCGTCAAAATATTGAGAAATTTTCTCCATGTTTGTTATGTTTGTTTAACGGGATATTACTCTATGGTTAAAATATACTAAAAGTTTTCTTGGGATTGTTACTAGACGGTTAGGATTTTACTTTTGCAGAAATTAATTGCATATTTAAATACATTACCGAGAATCAATTTCTGTACTAGTAGTACAAAAAGCCAAAATGAATACATCTTTCAAAAATTTCGGGTACTACCCCGGATTCGGGCTTTTACTTTCAAAGCCTTGGCTTTTTTACCGTACTTGGCTTTTATCCACTTATCCGTGGGCTTTCATAGCCTTTGGGCTTATCCTATATTCATACTTAGAGCTCAATATAAAGAACCGTAGAAATTTTGTATAATTGTTTATATTGAGCTCTGCATCCAAGGGTAGTACCCGAAGTTTTTGATCAGAACGGCGCTTCATAATTTTCGAAAATAAGCTTCGATTGTTTTTTTACCATATATGGTTCCTGCGTGTTGCCAAAAAAAAAAAATTTCAAAATTAGGATTGGTCTATAAAATAGCAGAAGGAACCTAGCTTGTATTAAACTCTCATAATAAAAATGTCTATTTTTAAATCTTTTGGTCTTTTTCGAAAAACAGAACCTAAATTTTTCAACATATTACGATTGTTGACTGCTCTCGTCTTTACATGTGCTCTTGGGTATTATGTTTGGATTTCACTTAACAAATTCGTTTCCGAAATTAATCCTATATCTTTAACATATCCAAGTATCTAATTTACGTTATATATAATGTAAAATCTTTAAACCTTAGTTAACTTTTTTTTTTTTAAAAAAAAATAGAGTTTCATATTTGCCCAAAAACTTTAAGTAAGAGGTTTAAAAAAACATTATTTTAAGGTTGCAATATATACTTATCAATTTCATAATGAAAGGCGACGATAATAATTCAATAGCAAGAATATCATTATACAATTTATACCATAATAGATCAGATTCTCATTGGTATATTATTATTCCTAATAATTATTCGGTCAATGATGACAATAAACGTAAGTTGATTTATATTAAAATTTGACGAATGATTTTTAAAAATTTAATTATTTTTCTATTTCACAGTTATGACCAAATTTTATCCGAACATGACTAACAATTTATACAACAACAGTGTTATTAATGGTATTAATGGTAGTGATGATAATCGTTGTATGGAATTTGCATTTAGAAATGACTACATCAAAAATCCCAAAGGACATCATAAGAACGCTCTCCTCTTTATTATTACTTTGGATAATTCTTCAATTTATAATTACTTCGAAATTATTTTTGAATCATTTTACATTACAACAAAAGTTACGAAATCACTTAGTGATGATGAACAAGATATTAATGAGGTGAAATTAAGTCAAAATCAATACTTTATTACTCCAGGACGATTTCATATGTGTACTTTTTATTTCAAAAGTGCGAAATATTATTCTACATCTCTTTCTGGTCTTCTTGGTTTTGATGCAGATCAAGATGAAATGGATATTGTAATAGAAGATAATATACTCTCTCAATTGCCAAATACTTTCAATACTGTGTTAGAATTGACATATAAATATGATTTCATAGTTAATGATGATGTTAAGACATTTGAAAATAATGGTAATTAATAATTTTATATCAATATTCGTATTTATCAATATTCGTATTTGAATAATTTTTACAATTAATTTTCCTCTTTCTTTTAGTTATAAAACTTATATCAAGTTTTGGTGGTTTTTATAGTGCTATAAGCGGAGTATTTATTTTACTATTTGGCGCTTCAAAACTTTCTCCATGGTAAATATTTTAAATCATTTGAAACGATATTGAAAAATTTTTAACGATTTATCATATTTATTCTAAGGGGAATTTGTCAAATGTACTTGTTACGTTGTTGGCCATGTCGTCGGAGTTTTAAAAAACATTTGGCAAATAGATACGTTTCTCGTGCAGGAATACCATTAGCAGATGATCCATGTAGTCTACCAGAGGGTGGTAGAATCGAAGATAGAGTAGCCGTATTGGAAATTTTGTTAAAAGAGTATTACATTGATAATTATTATCTAGATGATTTAAGAAAAACACATGAAAGATATTTTAAAAATACAAATACTAAGAAATGAAAATGTATGATAATATACGTTTATAAGAAGCTAAAATTTAACCATTAAATTGTTTCTTTTTTCTTTTCTTGTAGTAACCGGGTTTAACTTAAACTACTTTAATAATTAGGAAATTATTATCTGTTATCAATTTAAGTACTTACCAATGAAATTTACTTTGATTGTTTGTATTATATTAAAATAAAAAAAAAATTACAAGAAACTTTCGCCATGTCTCAATCATCTCAATCATCTCAAAGCAGTGTAATTAATAATGAATACGAGTGGTGTAAGCAATGTCAGATAAACTTTTTAACAGAAAATTTTACAAAATGGACTAGCGAAAATGAAATAATTGATGATTTCATTCAAGAAACGCAATTAAACGTTGATGAATACGATAATGTATTATTTGAATGGATTCTGTATAATCAGTTTAACGTTAAAGAAATAAGCAAAAGTGATTCCACTCCAGTATATTCAGTGATATGGGAGAAATGATGAAAATGAATTGATAAATTTAATTATAAATACATCTATATCTTTTAATGTAATAATAACTTTGTATTAATAGGTTAAAACATATACAATTATAATATACCCTTCTCAGCAAACCAGATACGAAAGATTATATCATGGTTTCAATATTGTGAAGAATATTGTAAATAATGCGGTGAGAAGAATACTGACAAACGGTGGTGTAAACTGACAAATAAATTATTTTATGAAAGAGTTTGCAAACTGGATGTTTTCATTCAAGAAAAGCAATTTAGCATTGATAAGCGTGATGACAAAATATTTGAATGGATACCATACGATCGGTTTAATGGCGTTAAGGAAATTAATGACGGGATGGATGAGAAATCGGATGAAAGGATTAATTTAAAATGTTTACGTAACTTAAAAACAATACCGACGAATTTTTGAACGAGGTAGTTTAGAAAATTAAACACTTCTTTAATGTAATAATAATTTTTTATTAATAGGTTAAAGCATACTTGGCAAACGAAACAGAAATATACGGAATATCTCAAAATCCAGATACGAAAGATTATGTTATGGTTCTTAAGAAAGAATAAATGTTGTGAAAAATGTGATAAGAGATATATCAATACATGGTAAACCATGTCAAATAAAAGAGTTTCGCAAACTGGACCAGTGAAAATGACAAGATTGACGATTTTTATCCAAGAAATGCAATTACGCATTAATAGTAAAGCTGTTTAATATTTGAATGGATACCATACAATAAGTTCAATAGTGTTAAAGAAATAGGTAAAAGTGATTACTCTGCAATATGGAATGATCCTACAATAATGATAAAACGGAATTAATTAGAGAGTCAGATGAAAAAGTTAATAAAATTGTTATAATTTTATTGGAACCTTTTCTTTAATGTAATAATGATTTCTGTTTTAAATATTTTTACTAGGTTAAAACAGGGCCTCTTTACTTTGTTGTAGGGTTTACAATAAAAATTGCCTCCGCGTACGAATTTCAATAAATTTTACCTTCGCGTACAGATTTACTCCAGAATTGGGGTTCGACGTACAAAACTCATATAAATATACTTTTTATCATTTTTTTTTTGTCAATTAATTTAATCATAAATATGAATCCCAGCAAAAGAAGTATCCAAATATTTAAAATAATATAAAAAATTTTTGTGAAGTTCCTCGTATAGAAATCGAATTTTCAAAAAGTTTGATGTAACAGAAATGTGATTATTAAAAAAAAAGTTCAGTGTATGGAAGACCTGAAGTTTAACGTACGGATTTTTGTACGGAAGTGGGCGGAAGTTTCATTGATAAAACTGTGGGGCCCTGTTAAAACATACTTGTTGAAGGACATGCCAATAATGACATTCTTAAAATAAATAGAATTTCTCAACATCCAGACACAAAGGATTATGGTTCTTGCGTATGCGAAGGGTGGAAATTTTCAGGATTGGATGGGATTGAAATGAGTATTAGCCGATATTTGTAAAAGACTCGCAGAAATTCATCAAAGGAGGATGGTTCACCGTGACTTTCACACAGGAAATATATTGTTCAAATTTGATACTTATTCGATTCTGAACTTAATGCATTTATTTCAGATATGGAATTGTGCGGGAAATTGGTAATATGGATAATAAAAATATTTATGGCGTCATGCCTTATGTAGGACTAGAAACCTATACTCAAGCAGCGGACGTATATACAGTAGCTTTGGTATGATTATACTGCCACCCACTAGAAGACAACTTTTTGCTGACAGTAAACATGATGATATATGTAAAGAAATTAGACCAGAAATATACGAGCCAGAAGCACCAAAATGCTACATTGACTTAATAAGAAGGTGCTGGGATCCAAATCCGGAAATTGAGGAAATGATTTTTTCGTTTCAAGAATCATACTATGGAAATGATCACGAATTCAATGAACAGTTTAGAGAAGCAGAAAAATATAGAAAGATCATTTTGAGGAAGATAATGATATTAATTATCAGCCATTTATACATCTCGGTTGCTTAATCTTTATTTATCTGACTGCTTAGACTGTGAAATATGATTCAGGTTGGATAAGAACATGAAATAATATTTTGTCATTAAGTATTATTATTATCAAAATATCGTTAAATGTTATTATCCCCTACTTATATGATGTATTGCATCGTTGAATTTAAAGAAATAATTATTTTTGTTCAACATTGGTTATTTAGAGTAATATGTAATAAGGATCGGTTTGCCGTAATTGAAACACATATTTTGATCATTCACCGCAGTACAGGGCTAAACTACATAAAACCCATAATCCTGAGTTTGCAAATTTAAGATCGGATATAAATTTACTCTTGCAGAGGTCGAAGATCGCCTATAATCAACCAGAGACGCGAGTTGATCTTCAGATCACACAGAATTTCTGCGCAACGCCGGTGAGTCTGTGCAACGTATTGATTTTCCATAATCGAAAAGAAGTTATGGTATGCTAACCAGCTAACCAGTTTTTCCGAGAAAAAAAGTGAAAAAATGCTTAGTTACACTACAGGTGATGCCCTATAAGTAAATAATGACGACAAAACCATATGTCATGAAGGGCTAAGGACTTCGCAATTTCGAGATCGCCAGATCTCCATGTGAAAAGGTATGAAGATACTCATTGTGCTTTCAAAGCTTTTCTCGGCATCATACGACAATGTTAATCACGTTACCATGTCTCCTGTCCTTCGGTCCTTTCAGCAAGATATAAAGCATGTAGGAACTTGTGGAAGTTCAACCAACCTTTCTGCAATAACCTTCCCATAAAAAATTTAGTTTATGTATATGCCAGAAGTTATGCTTACATGGAGTGTGAGTAATTTTTCACTACGGGTCTTGTGTTTAGGAATGCAGTATGTCTTCGATAATGATATTATAAGTCTTCCGTTACCGTAATGCGGAAAATGTTTGCGATTGAGACCCCCTCCCTTTTCTCATATAATTCGAAAAAAAGAAATACACTTTCAAGATTTCGGAAAAATGTGACTGTAACGCCCTGAGATCTTTGATTGAGAGGATTTATCATACAGACATACAGTCATGATGATGATGACTCATCTGACGCACAACATATATACCACAAATCCTCCGAATTGTACAACTGTCCCACTATTTTTTAAATCGAAAATGTCTACAAGTACCATCACTGAACCCTCATAGAAGATATAATACGGACGCTCTTATAACTTATTTATGACGTTTTCGTGTCGAAGGGGTTAATGGTTACAGCTTTCTTAGGTTAAATAATGATTTACTTAAAGAATGTGGCTTTCGGTAGAAAAAAGAATATCAGACTCTATCCTTCAGTTAAATGGTCAAAGTAAGTTCTATCATAACATAATTTAATGTTTGTACGCTTTGCGTGTTATTCAACAGATGTCTTTCAAAGGCAGTTATTTTCGTAGTATTTATTAATCGTTCCTGTTATTTACCTGCACTGTAATTTAATATCAAATACTTATTTAATTCTATGAATATACCCATTTGTCTTCTACAGGGCTCCTTTCTATTAATGAAGTTTTATCGTGCATTCCACTACCTCTTTATTATCCTCAAGATACTAGTAGATCGATTAGCTCAACAAAAAATAAGTGGCTCTTGGCCTACAAGAATAACACGATGGAAAGGATTTTTAGCAGAAGTAGATCGGTACAACTTCGATGAAATAGAGAGACTTGAGAGACCGCATTTTTTAGTGATAACATCTACACTGGTATGGAAGTCAAATATATTTGGTGTATTGAACAAAGTTATGAAAAATTACAAGTTTGCGAAGCAGAAGGATTCCAATTTCTCTCTTGACTCTGATATTGGTCCTTTCACACCAGTTTATACTTGCCGTCTTAGAATAGATAATACTTTCTCGAAGCAAATCTTGGCAATCGAAATCAAGAGATCCTATTACAGGATTTTCCAAGGTTCACTGATTCTGATTTAGAGCTTTGGAAGACGAGAGCTTATGGCGGGCCATTTATATGATATAATTGGGCAAATTTACAATTATATGTCATCATTACAACTTCAATATGGAGTTCTTTCAAGCTATGATAATCATTGGTTTCTGTATCGACCAAAAAATAACAATACTGAGCTTCAGATTTCTCATTCTTGTGCATGTGATTCAACCAACCCACCTGTGCTTAAATCATACGTATATTTGGCTCGATTAGCAAAGGAAGATCCCGCATCTCCCCATCTTAATATAAATAATAGTAATAGGAAACAAACTTTAGCTTTACAGCAAAGTCAACAAAATTCTGGAAGTGGCCATATTTCCCAGATTTTCAGAAGTTTGAGTAATCCTCATTATAACTTGAGAAGTACATCCGGGGATCAGGGATTAAATGAAAATCAGGATCCAACGGAAGAGGTTTTGATTGTTTAGAATTTGTTTGAATGTTCATTAGGCTATAGGCTATGGGCAGACTGGAGGAACTTACCGATGTAAATTCTATGGGCAAACATTAGCTTTAAAGGATTTAGATCTACAATTCTTTTATAATATGAAAAATGATATCAAAATATACCAACGTCTTTCTAAAATTCAAGTAAAGTATATCCCAAAATTGTTATGTTATGGTTATTATGGGGTGGAATGGGCTAAGTTATGGGTATGGCAATTGTTGGTACTGTGTTGAGTTTTCATAAGATAGAGAAATGGCAAAAGAATCAGGCTCTCAGGGCATTAAAAATAATTGATAGTCACAACATTCTTCATAATGATATTCGAAAGAAAACATCTTAGTTAATGACGAAGGCAATATATTTTTTATTGATTTTGGGAAGTCAATTATAACTGATAAAAAGAAGTTGTTTCATCAAGAGAAACCATTATTGAATTTTTATATGTAATTAATATTGTTACGTGAATATCATTAGCTAATTTTAATCTTGATTGTATTTTCTATATTATACGATTATATGATTAAAGTAATAACTATTTGCTATATTATGCAAAAGCAAATAAATGTGATTTTTAAATGTCATTAATGCACAGTTAAATTTATAACTGTAAATTTCATACGTAAGCTACCTTATTCACACACATAACCAGCCGAACGTCACGCCAGAAACATTAACAACAGATGAGGTAGTTGATACGGTAAATAAATTTAGGAAGAATTTACTGGGTGAAGATCTGCCACAAAACCTATCGACTTCAATCAAAGATTACACCTCACCAGAACAGGTAGTCCTAGTAGTTGATAAATTTAGAGAAGATGAAAGGAAATATTTGAATGGATCGTCACGATGTTGTCCAAGAAACATACGACAGCTGATACAACATTACCGACGACTACTCAACAGAACTTCACGAATATAACACCGTTAACGCTTCTTGCTCAACAAGGTTATCTAACCCACAAGAAAAAGTTGACACTGATACGGTTTGTATTAAAGAGGGTAAGAAGCGTATCATTGGAGAACAAGGTGATAGGAGTAAGGTAGAGGATGCTGAAAACGAAGGAGGAGAATAGATGACATATCGTGGGAAAGGTATAGGTAGGTAGAGGTGCACGGAGTAGAGGTAGACATGACGAGTTTTCGTCGTATCCATCTAGGAATTAGGATCGAATTTATCGAATCGATTATCGAATAAAAATCGAATTTATTTATTGTAGCGCAGTATTGATAGTTTATTAAATGACCACACTGAAAAATAAGTTTTAATCAGGTTATTATGCTGATCATTTATCTTTTATTTCTGCCAATACCGTTAAAATTCCCACACCCTAAACCTTCTTTTTAAAAAAATGGCAACTACTACACGAAGCGGCGTTAATGACGGTTAAATAAAATAGCAAAGTTAATATATACACAGATAATATGGGTGTAGTCGAATTATGGTCTAGTTTGTTTAACGAGAATCGAATTATTTGGTCAATGCGCCGAATTTGGAATATTAATTTTGGAGCGGTGTGGAAAACCCTAGATCGATTCATTAATGATAGTAGATTTGAAATTTCTATTTTTAAAGTTAAAGTCATTCAAATAATTTGGGCTGACGGATTATGCAAAGCGGCGCTTTTGGATAAAGATGAAAGGATTAACAGTGAAATTAATATCAACAATGATTATACATGGGAATACTCAGTATTTTGGAATAATACGATGGTTAAAAGTAATCCACGTGAATTTTGAAAAATATCAATCAACTAAAATATAAAGCGGATTGGCTAGCGCTGGATATTAATTGAGCATATAGGATTAATATTATGGATATTGAAATAGATTGGCCAGCATCGCTAAATATAATCATGAAAGAGTTCAATGGCATTTCTAGCTTAAATAATGATAGCACCGCATATAATTTAAAAAATTATTTAGAAATATTACCAACTTTTACAATGTTAAAGTTAAATCAACGTAATCCGGAATTTTATGAAACTAGCAGATGTTGTCAATGTTATGAAACGATTGAAACGTGGACGCACTTATGGATTTGTAGAGAAAATGATACTACTATGATACAAATTATTAATGAGACGTTCGAAAAGTTGAATTGTCGATTAGATGAAAACGACTTTAGAATATCGTTTAATTATCATGCTAAGTTGTTACAAATATTGAATGAGCGATCGTTAATGATCTTTAACGGAAGAATTTTTCATGAAACAGTCAAGGGGATTGTCAACAAAAAACTTTATTTGGGTATTAACGATAACACATTTAAGGATGTTATCAAGGAATTTGTGTTTAATATTAAAGAATATGCTCGGAAATATATCTGGAATGAAATGTAAAAAATTATTAAATGGGAAAAAAGGAGGGAATAACGATGGCAATGAAAAAAGCAGGTAAAAAGGATCGTTCGCTAATTGTTTCATATGGAGGGGTGGTGAGTGAGAGAACTAAAAATAGGTTTAGTTCTGATGCTCTTAATAGATGGGTCCAATGTAGTTACGTTTTCGAAGTTCGTAATTATTCTTTATTAGATTGATTTTATTTCATTATATAGATACTTTATTTAACGGATGTTCTAGAAACGTCTACATTGTAATAAATTATATTGCATAAATATTACAATATTAATATTAATAAAGTTTTTTATTAAAAAAAAAAGAAAGAAAGAAATCGAAAATCGAATTTTAGAATCAAAACTTGCGAAACGATTAATCGCGATTAATCTATTTTAAAATCGATTCTAAAATCGATTCTAATAATGATAATAAATTCCAATCCCTACATCCATCATTGCACGCCGATGGAGTTAGTAGATAGCAATTGCTGCTATGTATTTCTTTATGTCCTTAAATTTATTTGTACTATCTACATTTTAAATATTATAATAAAGAGATGCGCGTTACTAACAAAAAAAAAAAATCCTCAGTCCTTCACAACATACATCATTATTTACTTACGAGGACTAGACATTTTTTTACATTTTTCTCATATTTGTTTGGGAAAAAATCAATTCTATTCTGTTCCGTTCTGGATCGGATTAACAACAAATAAAAAATTGATGATCCGAATGTTCCGAATTGATATAATTGGTGATTAAACACGATTTTTTCTACTCAATTTATAATTAGCCAAATTAATTTCACTAAAATCGGCTATGAAGAACAGAGGTTAATACGTTTTCTTTTCGAACATTCTAATATCGCACAAATCACCCATTAATTTTATCACATAGGGGTACTGGGTACATAAACGAAACGAAAATAAATTAACAAAAGATTTCATTGTTTTGCGGACATGGTTACGTATGCTACTTTATGGCATTGATTCCAAACATAGTTAGACAAATACATGGATACCCGTCACGGTTCTGTCGATCAAGTAATGTATATAAATATGTCATTCATGCGAGTAATTATTCCGTACCAAAAGGTGAACCAGTGCAGTTCGCCATGTAGTCGTTTGTTTGTTTGTTTGTAAAACCTTTTACATTAACTCTAGATTTTCCTTAAAAGGCATTTTATAATTTAAGATTATAGATAAGCAGCATAAACCAATCACAAAAAACTTCATGTTCTTCATTTTTTTATATAAGAAAAGACTTCCCACCAATTTTTTTTTTCCTCCAAGATACCTAATATACCTTGATTTTTGCTTCAACACAAACAAATCGCAAAATGCATTTCCCTACATTCTTTCTTTTTACTGTCTGTCTTTGTTTTTTAACATTGAATGTTGTTGAGGCAACCAACAACCGAAACTGCCGTAATACCGTAACTATTACCAGGAATAAATGCTATCATACTCCTACTGTAACTAAGACCAAGACCAAGACTAAGACCAGAACAGAGACCAAGACCAAGACCAAAACTATTACGGTATCTAAGGCTCCCAAAACCATCACCACCACCACTACTGTAAAAAGCCCTAACCAGACAAAAACCATCACAGATACCGTCACCATCACCACTACTGCAAAAGACCCTAACGAGACAGAGACCGTCACCACCACCACTACTGTAAAAGACCTTAAAGAGACAGATACCGTCACCATCACCACTACTGTAAAAGACCCTAACGAGACAGATACCGTCACCACCACCACTACTGTAAAAGACCCTAAAGAGACAGATACCGTCACCATCACCACTACTGTAAAAGACCCTAACGAGACAGATACCGTCACCACCACCACTACTGTAAAAGACCCTAAAGAGACAGATACCGTCACCATTACTGAAAAACCTAAAACAGAAACCGTCACCACTACTACAACTGCTTCTACAACTACAACTGTAACCAATTGCGACACATGTATTGGAAATGGTAAATCTTGTACTAAAGATGGAGATTGCTGCAGCAAAAATTGTGCTAATCCTGGTCAAGACGATAGTAAATGCGTTGCAAATAATAATCCTAAACGAAAATGAGAAATCTTTAGTTATTTCCACAACTATTTTCGATACTGGTTCTGATAGCTCATTAATATTGTGAAGCGCTTAGATCTTACTGTGGAAGGTCATTTTTTTGAGTTTTTAAACCTATTTTGAATGTTTTTTAGACTTTTTTTTATAGGGCATACAAATTTCACGTTACTTAATATCATTTTAATTTACATTTTAGCATTTAATATTAGATTTGAATTTTAGTTTGTTATATGATGAAAAATATTATTTTATTAATGTTAATAAAGTTACACACGTTATAAAAATGTACTTTTCCACGTGATTGGTTGAAAATTACAAATATTATATTAATAAGGATGACGGATTTTGGAGGTTAAAGAATTGCGCATACCGCAATACTCCAATTCCAAAATCACGTGATTTGCGGCATTAATGAAAAGAGTATTCTTAAATTTAAAAAAAAATCGTTACTGAAACTTGCGTTATTCTGAGAAATATAAATTTTTTTAAAAAAGCGATTTCATTATATTATTAAAATCGTTTAAAAAAACAAAAAAAATGTTTTTTTTTATTACGAAATGTTGCACTTTGACGTTTTCTAATTATCTAATTAAAAAAAAGTTAATTAGTTGATAAATATTAAGTGCAACGTATAACTAAAAAATCAAAAAAAAAGTTTTTTTTGTCAAAAAATGTCGCACTTAGCACTTTTTATAAAAAAACGACAAATGTGCTGAACTTGCCTAGACAACCCATACTATACTACTATTCGTCTTACCTGTTAAAAATCTACCTATTGGCCTGATTTCACATGACGATCAACACTATAATCAACATTAATAACCAATAAAAGGTGATCCTTAACGTGTATCCCAGGTATAAGTTATTATCCTATACCCGGGGGTACAGATTTTTATCCTGTACCCCTTTGAATTTGATTGGCTAAAATTGTTTTAAAACACTTATTTTATATACCAGATACATTAAACTTTTATATATAAATAAAGGCTGAATTTTCTAAGTTTATTACTTATTATTTAAGAAATGTTAAATTTGGACTTTAATTATGCACTATTAATTTACAAAGATAAGCTTTATTTATCATCATTAATAAAAGAATTCAAAGATTAAAATTTAATTAATTTAATTGTTTTTTATTTCTGTGTTGTAAATTTCACAAAATAAGTTGTGATCTTCTTGGATGGGTATACCTAATAATAGATAATTTTTAATTATTTAAATATTTAAGGGAATTGCTAACCGTCACCTGGGCGATTATCGCCTGGAGTTTTTTTTTCAGATATGTCACATGATGTATAATATATAAATATAACTATTATCCATTTATAATTATTATTTTGTTCAGTTAGTTCAGTGGTTAGAATGCTCGATAATTTTTTTTTATTTTAGAAACGCAGGTTCAATTCCTGCACTGCTAAGCCTTTAATTTTTTCAAATTTTTTATCATTTTGAATTTTTGTCTGAATTTGAGTTTGAACTTTGAATTCTGAATAAAGCGCATTCATTTAATAAATTATTGTTACGCATTTAATTACAATCAGAAGTTATATGTTTAATCATAAATGCATTTTCAATTCTTTATTAAAACAAATGATAACAATTTGCTATCCTAAAATTTTAAACTAATCATTTTGTAAGTCGTTTAGATTTAGACTTCTTTAGATTCTTTTTAAGTTCACACCTTACCTACATGCATTATATCCAATGTCTTTACAGTGAGGTTGCGGGCGAAACCTTATAGTAAACGCAAAACTTGACAAAACTATATTAAAATATTAATAAAAATTTGGTGAAACTTGACTATAAAAATCATATGAAATGACAAAATTATAATAAACTCTTATAAAAAAATTGACAAAACTGAGGTTTAGACATTTTGTCAAATTCAAAAATCAGTTTAGCCTGCAACCTTACTTTACAGTAACTGCATACATACTGTGATCGTTAAGTACTAGCAGATCCACTTGACTTTTGCTTTTGATTATTTTCTAATGCATTCTTTATATGTTTTCTTGGAACACCTTTTGTATGTGTCTAATAAGGGTTGCTAATATTCGGCAAATTTTTTTTGTCGATTTCCAGTTGCCTAGAACGAGTTTCATTTTCTTTCTTTCTTATTCACCTTTGCAACATTCCATTTAATTCGTCTTCACAGCCTATTTTAAAGGCTAGTTCAATTGCTTTTTTCACGTAGCTAAAACCTTGATTATATTTGGCTTTATAAGATAAATTTTGCTTGGCAGTTTTCAAAAATGCTTGTGTATGGCGAATCTCATGTAATAGGCTAAAATCTGTCCTAATTTGATATTTATACGTACCAGTAGGGTTGATTGTGTTCTTTTCGCTGTAAATTGTGATTGCGGGTTCTTCTTAAAAATTGGAAAATTTTTTATTGTACCATCGATCTGAAATGAGTCTGCACTGGTCGAAATCAAAACTTTTGACCATTAAGAGCTTTCGGTATAAATTTTGCCGATTGGTTATGTGATTTGTCACATTTTTTGACCAATGGCAAAAATCAGTAAAATCAATCACAAATTGACTGATACTGATTGTTAAATGAAAACTCGTTCAGTCTTTTGGTGAAAAATTAACTTATACCGATTGTTATATGAAAACTTGTTCCTTTAAAGTCATTCAGTAAATTTTGCTGATTGGTCACATAAATCAACACAATTTTGCCAAATGGTAAAAATATTATTTTTTAATTCAAATTTTATACTTTGTTTACATTGTTTATTTATATTCAATGCATAATCATTAACGAAAATTTTATTGTAAAATGAATTTCAACTTATCTTTCGTTAAATAATTATAATAAAAATACTACAAAAGAATCTTTTTGTAAAAATGAAATTTCATCTAATAAATGTGTCTCTCGTCAAGTAATTATAAAAATGTTTTAAAAAAATAAAAAAAATAATTTGGCCGATTTTTATCAAAACACTTAATTATTAACGAATTTGGAGTTTGCGATTAATTGGATTAATTGCCAAATATTTAATAGCATTACTCCAAGTAGAAATTCGATATTTTGATGGTATAAATTAACAAAGGATATTATGTATAGGAATAATACAGTCGTGGCTTTCATTATAAAATTCAGATTTCCACAATTCAACGTTACAACTCTCGTCTTCATCATCAATATGAAAATAATATTGACTTTCACTTGTACTAGCTGGTTAACCCTATAAAAAGTATTTATATTTAAAATATAATTAAAAACTTTTTAAAATATATTTAAATTATACTTAAAATATATTTAATTTAAAAATTGCGAAATACTTATAATATACTTAAAATGTATTTAAAATTATCTTAAAATATATTAGACATATGTTTTAAGATAATTTTAAGTATATTTTAGATATATTAAAAATATATTTTAAGTATTTTGCAATTTTTAAATTAAGTATATTTTAAATATATTTTAAATATATTTTAAGTATAATACTTTTTATAAGGCGATACTAACGAATATATGCCAAATTATGTTCCATTTGTCCATTTGGCAAGTCGACTGTATATTTGAAAAAGTATTGAATTTGTCTAGGATAACTGTCGACTTTTTCATCACTAGTTATAAATTTGGCTAGGACATACGAGCTTTTTGTATGTCGAATTGACATTGCGAAGCCAAATACTTCAGAACCAATTCGGAATCTTCCAAATTGATTTATCTTTACTCAAATTGTTATAGAATTTTAGATAATTTCATCTGCTGGTTTGCGAAACTTGTACGTTTCAATATAAGAAGCATTATAAAAAGCAACCATCAGTTCGAGCATTAATTCAGTCATTATTGCTTTGGAACTAAGCTTCAGCATTTCTCCAGGAAACGGCTTACATCCAGTAATAGTCGATTTCTGTATATTTTTAGCATTTAGCCAAAACCGCTCTTCATCTGAAGAAAATTGGTCTGCAGCCGATATTGAACCAGTTGTGAGTTAATTTTCAAGCAATTCTAAACCTTTCGTTTGAATGTCAGAACTAATGATATCTCTAATTTGATTGTTATTCATTATCTGACGCATTATTTTCAGTTCAATTTGTCTATTACTTGTTGGCAATGAGTCTTAAAAATTATTAAAAATAAGACTAACAATGTCTGAATAAAGTAAAAAAGTAAAAAAGTAAAAAAAAAGAATATCTTACTGAGTATTCCATTCATACGCTTAAATGAAAAACACCAATATGCATATAATAAACCAAAATCATTCAAACAATCATACAAATGGAGCAAAAGGTGAAGATTAGGCGTAATTTTTACTCTTTCATAGTGTACTTCAATAAGCTTAATTATTTTAATTAGCCTCTCATAAGCTTCTTCCATTAATTCAATTTCTAAAATTCGGCTTACTAAAATAGAATAAACTCTAATGAAATGTGTCAAGATTTTTTGATCTTTTGACGGTAAATGTTTCCACAATGAGGTAGTTGCATAGATCATAAAGAAAATTTGCCACTGATCAGCTGTATAGTTCGAAAACCCTTCTCCATGCTCAATATTTCTGGAAATTTGTCCCAAATCAGCTAGTACTTTGAATTGATTTATTTTTCTTGAATCTTCTTTAGATCGTTTGGGGTTAAAACACCCTCATCAATCCAAATCCTCTTCATTATTCACCTCGCAATTCCTAAGAATAAGCAGTGCATTGGATCTACAATAATAAAACGAATTGGGTCAAAGTACAGCAATCGAAGTAACTTCGATCACCTAACCTCTTTTTCACTAACGAAATTTTTTCTTAAATTGGTGGAATTGCAACTTTGCCATGCAAGAGCATTTTGACGATGTTCAGTCGAATCGTGAGTAATGAACCAATTTTTTATATTTTTCATACCTGCAAAATTATGTTGGTAGTCTTCATAATTTGCTCATTTCATACACTGATGGCAAGAAACCCAAAGCTAAAATATGCCCACATATTTTCCAAGCAGCAGGGATATCACACGAAATTAGTACTAAAGCCACACAAATATTTTTCCAGTTTTGGCACTCAAATGTTTGATTTAAAGTTATTCCACTCCATAGTAACTCTAATTCATTGACAATAGGCGCAATATAATGATTAATCTTATGTAAGCTTACTTCGTTCGGTCTTGGTAGTAGACTGAGAACTAGCAAATTTTTGCGCTTGAACTGAATATCACAGGGTAAATTACAGATAGCCACGTAAATTACTCCGATACTATAAAATGTACCATTGTAGGGCTGGAACTAATCAAGGTTTATTATTAGTCTTAGATGTGAATTGGCTACTTCTGGTCAAAAAAATTTGGCTGAATTTTCATCGTTAGTTTCTCTGAATGTTTTCCAGATTTGACCATCATATATATCGGTCAGTATGTTATCAAATTGTCGACGATTTTACCAATATCAAAGTAACTGTTCAAAGTGAAGCCGATAATATAGAACTTCCAATTGTTGATGAATCGGTACAACCGGATATATTAATTCTGGCTTTTTAACCTCTCTTTCAGCCAAGACCGTTTGACACGATTTCATCTTTCGAGATGCTGAATTTGGAAATTCAACGTGACTGCATCTTATAATACCAATACTGTCATTTTTTTGAATTTCGTCCATGTCTGTCTTGTTATATAATTTATGACATTTCAGACATGACACGAAACTATAAAAACGATTTTTCAGGCCAAGTTGAATTCTTGCCAGATATAGAGAGTCAGGAAAGCTATCGTAAATGTCTCCACTGATTTTTTTTAACACTATTTTCATGAATTTTAGTTGAGATTCAATCACTGTTTCAGGGAGATTAAACTTTTTTCGAAAGGTCATTATCCACAATAAAATCCATGAAAATTTATCATCGATTGTCGTTTTTTCTTCTTCTTGATATGATTTAAAATCTGGCGGTGAATAATTTTCAAAAGTATCGGCAAAAGTTCCATCATCTGACTCATTGCCATTAGAAGAAGAAGAAGTATCAGTATGTTGTTCATAATCAGAATTGCTCAAATCTTCTGTTTCTGAATGTTCAAGCATAATTTGTGAGCGATTTGCGTAGCTTCTTATACGGCTTTGAGGTAAAAAAATATATTCATTTTCATTGTATTCTGGAGTTATCGAATTATCTTTTTCATTTAATGAAATTGTTGTCAAATCTTCTTCAAAAGGAGTTATTACCAACATTTCTTTATTTAATAGAGATATCAAAATATCTTCATTTATCAGATTTTCTTCTAATGAAGTTATTGTTGAATCCTCTTCTTGATTAATTAGTAACAATGAAGCCAAACTACTATTAAGATTCAAGTCAGTTGTGTTTTTTGCTGCTTCATGAAGCATTTTGGTTCGTAATATAACCAGTTTTCCATTACATTTGTCACAATAATAAGGAACTTTAATTTTTTTTTTGCTAAACCTTCTAGAAGATAGTTGGTTTGCTATCCTTTCTGAACTCATAATTTGATTAATCGATCTTCTTCTAGTCATGTTTTATAAAATTTGACAAAGAATCGGTTATAATTAATATGTACTTTAAAATTTAACAAAATTTTGACAAATGAAGTCAATTTTTCTCTTGAAATTAAAATTTTATGGAATTTTTTTTTAATTTGAAGATTTTGATTAATTAAATTTTCAATCATGAGAATTTTTTTAATTTGAAAATTTCGGTTAAATTTGATTTGTTAGTAATTGATTTGATAAAAGTAATAAAAGTCTAATTTCGATTAAACTTTTTTTAATGATTAAGGGAGAGTGTACAAAAATCATTTTTATTATAAACCATGTGGCGAAAAATTTTTTGTGTAACAATAACATCAGCAATTATAATTTCCGTAATTTCAGCAAAAATTATAAACGCATTTATGTATAATTTTATTTAACAAAATAATGCCAAGTCTGTACATTAGCATTTGCTTGTGCATCCGGTACTACACCAACTACAACAATACTACTAGATAAAATTTTACTTCCTTCAAATGGTTTTCGTAATATAATTGTTTCTTGAACTAAACCACAAACAACTAAATCAGTCAAGGCAAACTGAACTAAATCTTTAGTTTTCAGTACCTTTCTTTTCTCAGTTGGATATACTGGCAAAGTATTCCAATTTTTTTGTTTTATCTTTGCAGTTTTTCCCCCTCTAAAGTCTAAATACATCTATTACATTATCTGGACAAATTTGCTCACCCGTTTCCTGTGTTAAATATTCTACTACTTCTAAAAACTTTATGAATTCTTCCTTACCATCAATTAGTCTTAGCTTGTCAGTAATTCGATTAATACAATTATCACATATTTCACATACAGATAGTTTTTCTTCATTTGGCCAAGTTTGGTATTGCTATATTAGCTGTTGATGGCATTCATATCCTGAATTGCAGTAGTAGATGACCTCAAAGATTTTTTTAGCAGCACGTTCCAGTTTATTGATTAATCTTTACTCTCCAATATTGATGTTTGCAGAAATAGATGCACTATTAATATTCAAATGAATAATTGTTATATTTATATTTTTTTATTAACGTATATATATTTTTATTTATTTTTCAATAAATGTATAGTACATTTTATATAAATAAAAATAATTACATTTCCCGATACTCTGCTATTATAGAATAATTTATACGAATATCTTTTTTACTGTAAAAAATAAAATGTTTTGCTGTATTTCCATCACGTTCTGCACGTTGTTACCCCTAGTCACGTGTAGAGTTACAACTTACTACGCCAGAAGATCATGTGAAAAATTAGGATCTACTGTGCTCAACTGTGCCAAGCTGACCTAGCCGCAGCCTACTTAGCCTATTATTTTTATTATATTTATTATATTAATTATATTTAATATAATCGATATAATTATTTTATTTATTATATTTAATTTATTTATTATATTTATTATATTAGTTATATTTCTTATATTAGTTATATTTCTTATATTTATTATATCTATTATATTTATTATATCTTTATATGTAATAATTTTTATATAAATAACGTTAGTATTTTCCTTCGTTATAAGTTTAGTTCGAATTAGTTAACCTTAGTTCCTATTAGTCCATATTCTTGTAATTATAAAGTTCTATAATAAAGTATAACCTTTTACACTATAAACGAACTCCCTATTTTAAGCGTGACTTGTTTGATTGGATTTCAGTAATAGTTAAACGTACTTAATCTCCCTGACTGCAAATCATAGTTAATCTATTCAACGTACCGAATCGGTTAACAACGTCCTGCTTTCTAAATGAGATTGGCTATAAAAATGTAAAAAAGTGAATATTTATACATAAGAAATAAAAAAGACAATTTATATACATACTCATACTCATTGGTGCTTCTGCATGAATTACTACTCGTATATCATTTGAATTTATTTCCATTCCAAATGCAGACGTCATGACCATTATTTGTGTAAATTAGATTTCCAATTATTCATTGCCTTTTTTCTTTCATTATCTCATAAACCACTATGGAAATAATCAACTATTATATCAGCCAAATTTTCCTGTAACTTATTATAAAGATATTCGCAACTGGAGTGTATTGCACAATATATAATAATGCGGCCAAATAAATTGGCATTTATAATACTTATTATTTCAGTAACATATTGATCTCGTATTTCTTTTCTCTCTCGCACATTGAAAATTATTTCTGATCGATGACTTGTAGAACCACGGATCAATGCAAAATTATTCTCTTCTATAGTCAAGTTTGCACAAATTTCATTTACTTCAGAACGTGTACATGTTGCTGTAAGTAATATAATTGGAGCCAATTCCCAACATTGTTTTAGTATTCCAAGTCGTCCCCAAGCCTCTTTTTAAAATAAATAATGTTTTTTAATCACGCACATGATAATGCATATTATTGTATTACCTGAAATCCTGATATTCCAAAATGCAATGCGCTTCATCAATCACAAAATGAACCTTTTTTTATTCATAAAGTTGTGTAATAAACCTACAGAATCCATTATTAGAAGCTAATTTTTCAGGGGTGATGAAAAGTATCTTCATTAGCCTATACGCTATCTGTAGTAAATTAGCATATAAGGTAGCGCATGGAATACCTGCATTTATGAGTTCTTGCTGAGGTATAAAATTAAATAATAATCATAAGTATAAAAACACAATATACCATATAACGAAGTTCATTCTAATCTTTTGGTCATCCATAAGCGCTTTAAGAGAACTAAAAACAATAGTTAAACCTTCAAAGCAAATGGCTGATAAGGCATAACATAAAGTCTTGCCTCCGCCAGTTTTCAAGAATACGAACATATCCTTACCACTTAAATAAGCTATAATTGCGTCTACTTGTCCTTCTCAGAAATTTTCAAACCCAAAAATCTTTTTTGCAGCAAGTAGTATTAGTTTATCTATACCAGGTAATTCTGGTTGTAATCTTTTAGGTATATATTTATCATTAACAATTCTTTCCCACAAAGCCACATCTACATAAAATAAACATACACCACATAAACCACGCACACTTTTTTTTGCAAATGCATGACATGCAATACATAATACATTTTACTATCACATCAAAGTCTCTTAATAGTTCACCAAATAATGGCTAAAATAAATCTTTACGGATTTGTTCAGGTGCTTTGCTTTTATAAGATACTAATTTCTATAATTGATATTAAGTAAATATTCTGTAACAAACAAATAAAAAGATATTAATAATATATCTGATATTACTTTGTCAAAATTAAAGCCAGAAAGCTCCTTTCTATCATTAGCGAACTTTTCCTTTCTTGCTTCATTTCGTTGTTGAATGGTATTATGATTTATAGAAACCTTTTGAGATCTTTCCTTAACAAAGTTCAGTATATTGCACATATCAGGATATGAGAAATCCTTATTGGTAGCTGCTGTGTAAACTTTAGCCATCATAACATCCAATTCATCATTCTGGCCAAGAACAGCTAATGCATGACGAGTATTATAAGAAGCCCAATAGTCAATTCGTTTATCCAAGTACTTGAGAATTTTTCTATTAAATATTTCGTTATGTGAAGTACGAAGTGTGGTAACAAGTCCTTGGCCAAATGGTACACAAAAAATTGTGATAATAACATTTCGAAAGTTTTCAATATTGGTTTGAGTATAATTTTTTAGGGTTGGACTTTGTAACTGCAATTCCAGATTATCCTTTATCCAACAAACATCACTCCAACACATACTGTGATCATTAAGTAAATGCTGAATTAAACCTTCTACTTGTATATATCATGTTTCCACTTCAGTTGGAGTATCATCCTGATTAAGTTTATTTTTAAGCCCTGCACTAAATATACAAGAGTTGAAATAACGCATAATATGTTGTTCAAAAGAATGCCAGCGGGAATGTTGCTTTTTTACTATTAGAATGTATGAAATAGACTTCAGTTAACGTAATTTTGGTGATATTTGTTCAAAATATTTTATAAAAATTGTCTATTTGCACAAATTTTTTTGAATATTTTTACTAATATGCTTTAAATTAGCAAATATGTGGCTTACTGTAGGAATGCACGCTAAAGTTCTATTTGTTTCTAAGTCACCATTTACACATATATGTAAGGTAAAGTCAGTTTTCTCTAATATGGGCATTATATCGTTGAGTAATACAAGTAGTATCGCATATTCCATTTATCTTGACGTTCCATCAAAATTTCCCTTATAAACTATTTTTGAAAAATCATTCTTAGATTTATGTATTGTACGAGGATTTTCTATCGTATGGAATCTAATTACAGGTTGGTAATTGTACCCTGGAATTGCAAATAAATTTTCTTTTATTAAATATTTAAATCTAACATCAAAATAACTTTATATACCAGGAAGATCTCCCAAATATAGGAACTCTCCGCTAGCTTAGTGTGCATTACGTAAATGTGACCATGAAAAATCAAAACCTATGGGTAAAACCTTTTCTTGACTTGGTAAATGAGCTGATTCCAAATGATCTAATAACTCATATAATATTGCTTCACAACTAGATTTTGCACTATCAATGATGGATTTGTACATACAAGCTTGACAGTTAAAATAAGATTTTTTGCAACATTGGTTGGTCACTCCAATTGTTGCCAATGCTGTTTGAAAAGAATTTCTATATACTCCCCCAGCAAGCGTGGCCCCTGCAACTACTTGTGAATACTTCATTCCTGAATCCTCATTTGAATATTGTGTTGATGTTTTGCAAAGAAGACATGTAATAACACAATATATATTAAATCCTGATACTCTGGTATAAAATGTTCGATTTGATGCAATAAGGTCAAGGCAATTAGGGCAGGGTAGTAAAAGCAGAATAGAAAGGTATTGCGAAGTGCTCATAAAAATAACAGATCCTAATTGTCTTTCTTCCATTTCCTTTTCCACTGATTTTTGAATTTCCGTGTCATTAAGTGTAGTGATGTTAGTTTTGATGATATTTTTAGCATCATTATTAATTGAAGTAATCTTGTTTTTTAATTTTTTGATTGTCTTATTCTGTGAATAAATTTTTTACTTATATTCTAAATTTTTTAACATCAAAACTTGTGTATCTTTAGGAGATCATGGCATAGCACTTTTCCATTAGATTCAATTTGTATTTCAAAACGAATATTTTGGCTATTGTTACCTTTCTCTTCACATAAAAATGTGTTGATTTCCTTTTGTCCTCGTTTTAAACTATAACGAAGTGTTTCTTCTTTTTTTTGCATTGCATAGCAAATTTTCTGATAAAATAACTGAAGGTTCTTATTGAAAAATGGTTGGATATTGTAAAAGAAACTTGTCGTGAACGAGTTTTTGAAGTTTATTTATTATTTGGAAATCATAAAGACCAAGCAGTGACCGAATTGTATTGTTTAATTCAAGGCCATATTCTTTTAATATACAGTGAAATGCAAGCCATTTAACACCTTGAGCTTTTTTATTTATATAGGATGTATTCAAGCCAAACTCCTCCCATAAGAACAATAATTGATTATTTTTCTCTAAAATTGATAATTAAACCGTTTTTTGCCAGCAGTAGTGAAAACAATATATTCAGGTAATAATGGGATTAATGCCCGTTCCTCTTCTTGATTGTGAGAAAGAATATAACCAGAATTATGATTATATTCTTTATTATAGATATTATTTGTATTGAAATCAAAAGCTTTTACTTCATTATGTAAATCCAGAACACGAAGACCAGCAGAATAGCCAATAACTGACCAGCAACCATTTGATCATTGTATAGCATGTCAATTATTAGAGTTTTGAGCAACAAGTATTGTATACCAGGTATAAAAAATGTTAGAAGGCATTATATCTATCATAATTACAACAAAATATACCATTTATTATTAATAGATTAGTATATTAGAAATATCTATTTATAAAGTAAATGTAATTCATGTATATATTAGCAAAAATAAAGTGTTTTTAAACAGTTTAAATAAAGCTTCATCTTATTATTAAATTATTTTCCTTCATGCGAAAAAACTGGGCTCATGCGAGCATTACAACATTACATTTTTGTTATTTTAAGCATAAAATAACTAAATTACATAAACTTTTCTTACTATACTTTAAAACTAGGAGTTCTTGAAAGGTGAACGCAAAAAAAAATTTTATATTAAGCTTTGTCTCTGAAGAGATAAGATTTAATCAAAAAAAGTGTGACTTTTTAGATGGCAATTTACTAATAAAAATAATTGATATACACCTTACCCTTAACATATAAATAAATAAATAAAAAACGTTTCACAACATTTTTTATTAAAATAGTTTAAAAATGTTGTAAAATGTTTTCTAACATATAAATTAATAAATAAAAAAACATTTTGCAACATTTTTTTATTAAAATAGTTAAAAAATGTTGCAAAACATTTTTAACATATAATTTAATAGATAAAAAAATGTTTCACAACATTTTTTTATTGAAACTGTTAAAAAACGTTGCGAAATATTTTTAACATATAAATTAATAAATAAAAAAACGTTGTAAAACGTTTTTTTAATATGTAATTTAGCAAATAAAAAATGACGTTATAATTATTTGAACAAAAATGTTGCAAAACCATTTTTTATTAAGTAATTTAATAAAAAAAACTATTTTCGCAACATTTTTTAATTCTTTTAATAGAAAATGTTGTGAAAATATTTTTTATTAATAAATTCACAAAAAAAAGTTTTCGCACATTTTTTAAATAAAAAACTTTGCAAAAACATTAAAAACTGAACTGCGAACTGATATTGGTAAATCGGTTCAGTTTTCGGTAATTACCAGTCAATTTCAGTAATTAATAATACTGTTACCGATCAATTTGGTTTGGTTTTGGTTTTGGCAAAAACCGTACTGAACTGAACTGATCAGAGCCCTAATCTGGATATATAAAGATATTCTATTGCATTTTTATCGGCTTCTATTTCACTTATTTCTTGATTAGTATAACCATTAATATCAAGAAGATCTTGAATTAAACTTATATTCCATTCCAAATATAAAAGTAAATGATAAATTTCCCCAAGTGATATTTCCCCAAATGTTACATCCATAAGATCTTGCATATTTTGATGTAATATTGTAAGGATGGGGTGACCACAGATATCGATTTTCTTCTGTATCAGTTTTAATTCCTCCACCAAATCAAACAACAGCCCAAATGAATCTTTAAGTGTTTTTCCTTTCTTGTATTAAATCAATGCTGTTTGATTTGTATTGTCATTAATAGATGGTCCCTCTGAGACCGCCATACCAAGTTTTTCCTGAATAGCTATTATATCTTTCTTCTTATATAAAAGTAATTCATATAAAAGCTCTTCATGTAGCTCATAAGCATTAACTTGATCAGAATTATTATTAGTATTACTTGTCATGATTGTGTTTATCTCTAGCTAGTATATATTCAAATTTGTGTCTGAAATACTGCTCATCAACCAGAGTGATGATCACCAGCTCGGAAGAATTTGCTGGGCCACTCCTGTGCGACAGAAAAATAAGTGAATCATCAGTCAGATCTTGTGTAATATATTAATTTTGCATATACATTCGAAAGAAAACATATTAACCTTTATTCTCTATTTTTTTACCATACAAACATGAGAAAAATGTGAAAGAAAGTCTAGACGCAACACAAGACTAACTCTAAAAGTAAATATTAACGGCAAAAGCATATGTTATGAAGGGTTGAGAATTTTGTAATTTCAAGATCTACAAGAACTAACTACCTTTGTATCTCTCCAGTAGATCTACATGTGAAAAGGTAAGAGGATCTATTTATATGTGTTTTCATAGAGTTCTTGGCATCATACGATAATACTAATTATGACTCATACCTCCTTAACTTCAGCTTGGCACTATTTTCCCAGCCAGATATAAAGTATGTAGAAGTACATAGAAGTTCAGCTAACATTTTGCAAAAAATTTACCTGTAAGTGTTTCACTAAGGTATGTATATACCAGAAGTTGTGTATGTATGAGAGCGAGCTTTTTCTCACTATGGGTCTTGTATTTAGGAAAGCAAGATGTCTGATAAGACCAGGGAATCTGATAAGACCAAGACTCCTGATAAGCTTGACAAGTTTCTCGCTGGTAGAGATATTACTCTCAACTGTCTCATTTCTAATGAGAAAGTGAATGATATTTTTGAAGTAATGATATCTAACACTAACAACAATAGAGTCTCTTCTCTCGCGGAGGTAATCAGAATCTGTCATCTAGATCGATTTCAAGATATAGATTCGACCAATGTGGCTTTATATAGGGTCACATTTATAGCTGATAGTGTCATAATCAACAGCTTAAGAAACATCAGTGAATTTGAAGTAAAAGGTGCAATAAGAATGGAATTGCAAGACACAATTTTTACTCATTTTCCTATACAACCCCAACGTATCTTTGGTGGTGAAAAGAGAATCAATGTTATCATGTACCCTCCCGCTGAAAGGATGCTGAAAGTACTAAACAAAAATAATTAGACTTTTTTTATTCGTATCATGTAGCGATAGGCCTTAGCCACAAAGTATATTCACAATTTTATGTATTGGCCAGCTTGGTCCCTTTAGGACCCTTCTGGCAACGTTTTATTTCATAAATAAAGTATTATTATTATTGTACTGTACATAAGAAATGGGTCACGTGTAATGGTGCAGTCCAGAACTATAAATCTAACATTTTTATCTGAACTAATCTAGCCTATATAAAAAACGTCAGGTGATAAGTGAAAAGAGTCTTTACAGTTAGAAAGGTGCAGTGATTAGGCGATTGTTGCACCTATGAAATTGCTAATCACATGGCAAGTCTATGTAACAGTTAAATTTCTCACATATACTAGGCCCTGGTATTTTTTCGTAAATAAATTCTTTTTTACTTCTTGTTCTCACAATCTTACATAAGCCAGTTTGCACCAATAACATTTAGTAAAAAATACTATAAAAGCTGAAAACATATCTATCACTTTATTTGCCTCATTAAAGGAAATACTCTGGTGAACGCTTTCTCTGTTAATGTTAGTGAATTAAAGAATGCTATTAAGGCGGAAAAGGCACTAGAGTTCGATGATTTTCTTGCAGACAAGCTTAGGCTATGGAAAGTGCCAGTTTCTGATGATTATGTCGATCCTTTAAGCAATCTTTCACTCAAGAATAAGGAAGAGCTGTTGGCAATAAGAAAGATTTTGAAATACTTCCCTGATTCACCTCCTGAGAAACATATTCATGTCTTAATCTCCCCGCTAGAGATCACTGCCACTTTGAGCCAAGAGCAGGAATTACTTGAGGAAGTCACCTCGTTGCAGGCATTACTCAATAAGTCCATACATAGTACGTATAAATTTTGGTTATATTTTTGCCAAAGCTCATAGCTGAAATTTTTAGGTTATAAAAAACGAGGTAATACCTCATCAAACTACTGCCTGAGAAAAGGATTCTACTAACTGAGCTGTTGCATTGTAGACTTTGACGTCATTGTTCACCCAAAATGGGAGCCAAATAAGTGGACTGCAAATATTGAATATATAACTCTCGTAAGCCAGAGAATATATACGTAAAATGTATCAATCACTTGCACCTGAAAATGATAGTGCTGAACTCAATGTATTAAATGACAGCAGAAAATACTTTTCTTATAACGATCAAGACCTTCATGAGATGCTCCGCATATTTGTATCAAAGAATAATCTCAAGTTTACTGTGTCCATAGAAACACCCTCAAAAGCTTTTTTGGATTAGTCATTCCCAAAAGTGTGTTAGCTTTATAGACTCGCTGAATTAAATGACCCATCATTGTCAGTATTTCTGCCTTTTACCTGCGAGTATAAAGATCTGAAAGACAATTCTTCCCAGAAAATACTTAGAAATATTATAATCGAACTGAAGGCTCATCTCAAGACCATTCCAATCAATGGAAATGAAGCATTGAAATTGCAATATATCTGTTCTTACTTTGTTGTAAGTGCAAATCTACATGAAAGGAAGTTTGAGTTTTGACCAAAAAAAAAATATCACAGGGCCCAATGGACATGGACCAATCAATTTTGCAATTGATTTACTCCAAACTGCAAGAACTGTTAGCATGACAGAAGTAAAGGACGAAGATTTTTAAGGGTATTGCTCAAAATGCCATACAACTTGAGTCTGCTTTATCAAATCGTAAGTGTAAAGCAAGTGAAATAGAAGAAGAAGATGTTTTTACAAGAAAGACTTTTGGGATCATCACAGATGCAGAAAAGTGGTATCTTATGGAATGTTCACTAGATAATAAGAGGAAGCCATCATTTTAAAGATGAGAATATGCAAGTTAAGGTGGAAAAGGTCCTCAGATATATTACATGGTTATTGGAGAAGGCGCAGAAGCCAGACTCGGCTCTTGACGTTGACAAAGAAAAGGTCAGAGGGCAACCTTACAAATTAGAATTCTGACTTCTGTGGGCAAAGTCCTGACTGAACGTTTGTATTTTGCATGTATTAGTAAAAATTTCTTAATAAAATTTTGACTGGCTCTAATATATTTATTGCAAATATAGCAAATTTATTACATTTATTACTTTTACATTGAAATTTTATATAAATTTTATAGTTAAAAAACTAAAAAAAAATCTACCCATTAACAAATTACAATTCAAATTACATTAATATAGCTATCGATATTAAAAAAGTTATCAAGAAGTGAGTATCACCACTAAAGATATTAAGATCAAAGGTAGAAGTTGAGCATTTTGTATATTAAATGTATATATAGATACTTAATACCAAAATTGGTATTTTTCCTTAGAAGGTGGCTTTATGGGTGGTTCAGAAGTATGAGGAGATGATTTCGTAGATTATTCAGGAAGAGGTTGAGTTTCTTCGCTTGATTTGAAGATCAAGCACGGATTCCATCTGAACGCGTTCGTTAGTCCAGTTGCTCCTAATACTCCTGTACACATGATTCATGCCGTTTTATATGGTAAAATTTTAAACCCACTTTTAAGTTCATTGACTTTCCCTTCTACTTTAATGACTTTAGATTCTAGTTCATTCTTCACCATCCCAATTTTAGATTCAAGTTCATTCTTCACCATCCCAATTTTAGTGTCCATATCATTCATTTTTTTCTCCAAGTTTCCAACCTTTTTTCCAATAACATCCAATTTTTTGTAAACTGTATTATTGTTGATGAAGTTACGAGCAAGACCACGTGTAATTTGATAAGAAGTCATTTTTTAAGTAAAGACAAGAAAATGAGATAAATTGGAATTTTAAAAGATTTTGAGAATATTTATACACTTTTCTGGTTACACTGATAAACTCTTGATAGACTCGTTTGATTGGTAGTTTATTGTGACGTAAAAATTAATAAAAAAGTAATTACTCATTAGATACTAGGAACGGGAACTATTATTAAGTCTGAAGTATCAGTTTTGATTTGTCCGTTTACTTAGAATGCATCAATATCGTAACTTCTGTAAATATGCAAACTTTGCATAAACCTACATATCTCTTTGCGTAGCTCTTTGAACTAATTAGATTGTTATCATTTTTTTGGTTATACGACTGACCGTATTCGACAAATGTGACCTGCCCCAAGAGTGGTAATTCTGTGCGATGTCATATTTTTTGCAAAATGTGTTTAAATTTGCAATACAAATTTTTAAGATTAGGTGAATATATATAAACGAAGCTTTGATGCAATTAAGGTATGAACATTTTGTGTATTTGCAAAGAAGTGACTTCAGAGCTTGTAAAGTTTTTTCTCGTTCAGGTTTCTGACCTTATTAGCATCACGGAATGCAAATAACATATGTTCTCAACAGGCTTTACTAATATGTGTTTCTAACACTGCATATCTTGTACAAGAATAATTGACGTCTGTTAGTTTTTCTGACATGACATTATCCTGACAACACATATCCTGATAGAAATTTCCTGACATGTTGAGATGATTTACAAAAAGTAATTTATTATAATGTATCATATTTATAAATATAAATATAAATGACTGTTATTAACAGCATCAGGAAGTTACAAAAAAAATGTACATTACATGTACATTTATGCAAATCATATACATTGTAATATTCATTCTTTTTAATGTACAAGTAATATTTAACATTAATGAGCATCATCAATGCAATTTTTATCATGATGTGCAGCATTTAATAATAAATATTCAATGTACATTAAAGTTTTTATTTTTATTTCATATATAAGTTATAGTACAAATTATAAAGACTAAAAAAGAAGCCAAAAAAATTCGGTCATGTAATAAAATGACCATATTTTGACTTAATTTTAGCTGACGGAACGTTAAACTTTGACTAAAATTAAACCATGGCTAAAAGAAACTGGCTGATCAGACTAGTCTAATTATGGTTTGTGTGCCGAAAGATAATCTTTTTACTGTAAAGTTTAAAAAAAATAAACTTTTTTTCTTTTTTTCTAAAAAAATTATTCTCTCTTTTTTTTAGGTATTAAATCGGTAAAGTTTCAAAGTTTCATTTTTTGAAGCTTTATTTTTTTTTTTTTGTCTTTTTTTAAAATAAAAAATTTTTTTTT